CTCTGTGACAGTATGTAGAGCAGAAAATTCAAAAACACTTTAATACACAGACCCAGTACACAGCACAACTTCTGAGTAATGACGGTTGTGGCAGCAGCTCCACATTCATATCCAATATTTTTTTAGGTTAAAGCAAACAAAGCTAGCTTCAACAGCCACCCACATACAATGTGTGCTTAAATATTAGCATACGCCAAGGCAAACTAAATGCTGGGCATTAAAAATTAACAGATCCAAGAGTGTGTTCTTGCCTCAGGGAGACTGTAAATGTCATAACTTTTTTTCTTACATTATAAATGAAACTGCATTAAACTGTAGTTAAATTAACAGTGCTTTCAATTGCTTGTCTTCTTCAGTGGGAAATTATAACTGATATGAAAAAAAAAAGAAGAAAAAAAGAAAAGCAGTCTTACCTCTATTGGCCACCATCACTTTCTTGATTGGTCGATACTCATTCTTCGGGGCAGAGTGAGCAAATCGGGTAAGCACATAAGCCCTCCGGAGAGCCAACACACCAAGGCCACTCTGGGCTAAAGTGTACCTAAACATCCTGAGAGAGAAACAAACAACTGTTCAACTACACAAACAAAACAAATGCAAAGTAAGAAGACAGGAGTAAAATATTAAGATAAATCTAACACATGCACAAGGAAACAAGGCTTTTTTTTTAAAATGTAAAAAACAGTATTTTGGAGATCTGTGGTTCTCACCAAAGGAGGTGTGAACCACATTTGGAGAAATTAAATCTACAGAAGCTTCCTCTTAAGCTACTGCTGAGCCTCCACAACATGGCATTTTATTCAGAAGTGTTTAATTGTCCTTGAACTAATATTTACAAAGAGCCCTGGATTATTGAAGGATTCAGGAAGGGGGGGAAAAGGAAGGCTGTACAATGAGCAAATGGTTGAGGCCTGTGAATGTGATGGCTGTTGCTGGGGAAAGGTGAGAACATAATGGATAGACCAGTATGAGAATTTTTCACTTTTTTTTTTTTAAATTGATCTAGCTTCCATTAATGTTTAAAACATATTTTGGAATTGTACAATGACACAGTAACCATTTTAGTACTAATAATGGATGACACAGTGGTGCCCATGGTTAGGTTATGGCCTCTATGGGTGAGGTTCAACTCCAGTCTGGGGCCCTTCTGCTCCCTGTAACTGAGCGGGCTCGGTTTGGGTACTCTGGCTGCCTCCCACAGTCCAAAAACATGCAGTTAGTGGAGTTCAGCTAACTGGCGACTTAAAAATTGACGATGCCTGGCGCTCTGCCTTAGCCTTGTGACTCCAGGCTGCACCATGCTTCTCGCCTTATTCAGGGAGCCTATGACTCCCTGCGACCCTGAATTGGATAAACGG